TTTTTTTATTTATTTTTTTTTATTTGCTTAAATCAATCATCAAAATAACTTTGTTTCTTTTTTTTCTATAGATTTTTTCTTACGTTTATTGCTTTGTGAACTATCAAATGGAATGATTATGATGATGATGATGATGATGGCGAAATTAATAATGATGATGATGATGATCATGATCATCATCATCGAAATGACATCATCATCATCATCGACATCAAGATTATTATCAACAAAATCGACGACAACGACAACGACGACGACAACGATAACATTAAGATGATTTACATTGATAACGAGCTATATCGACATGGACATTGATTCTTTTCAATATTTTTCACATTGTTTGTCTGTGTGTATTTGTTATTTCTGTGAGTGAATCCAAAAAAATTTTCATTTCAAAAACATTGATAACGGCGGAAACAAAACAAAAAAAAAACAATTCAAAACCGAAACAACCGAAAATCAATAATAAATTCTTATCCTAGTCATCATTATCATCATCATCATCGACAAACAAAACAAAACAAAAAACAACGAAAGCTCAACGAAACATCAAAAAAAAGGTATGTTGAACACACACACACAAGCAACAACAACAACAACAAAGATGACCAATTTTTTTTGTCGATTAATCTGGCACGTAAACAAAACAAAAAAAAAGTAGATTAAGATTATATATACTGTGGAATGATGATGAGATTGATATACAAAATCAAAACGATTTCAATTTGTTTGTTTTGTTTTTCCTTCGCCAATTGAAACCTACTACTACTACGATGATGATGATGATTATCTTTTTTTCGTCAAAAAAAAAAAAAATAATGTTTGCAAATCCATCTAGAGATTGATGCTAAGAAAAAAATAATTAATCGATCGATTAATCGTTTTGAGGTGTGGGCTTAGTTGTTGTTGTGATTATTTTGTTATGTTTCCCCTCTGTTTTTTTTTTGTTTTTGTTTTTTTCGTTGTTCAATTGGTCTACAGTTTGGTGATGATAATAATCCATCGTATATATATGCAACACTACCACCAACATTGTATTGAACATTTTTTTTTCTTTGAAAAATTGATTGAAATAAACCAATGAATGAACGAAATCTTATCTGTAGAAAAAAAAATGAAAATTAAGCTAACCTTTCTCTCTCTCTCTCTCTGTTTTGCATTACCAACCAAAACAATCTGTGCAATCAATCAATCGATAATCATCCACTGTTATTGATTATCATTTTGTTCATCTCTCGCTCTCTTTCTCTATGACTCTCTTTTGACATTGAAAATTTTACTGAAATTGAAATGAAATGAAACAAAAATTTTGCAATGAAAAATTTTTTCATTTTATCGAAAAGTAAAAAAATCATCATGATGATGATGACCGATTTGAATGAACTTTTTTTTTCTTTTCATTCTATTTATCGATATTTTATTTTTTTTCATCGGTAAGGTGAGAAAAAAGGTCATCGAATTCAGAATTAATAGTGTCAATTTTTAATGAATCTATTCCTGTCTGTCTCTCTGTGTGTGTGTGTTTTTTTGATTTTTAACCGACCGGAATTTCATTTTTGCCGCGAAAACCAAAATCACAAATATCAACAACAACAACAACAAAACAACAAATGATGATAATGATAAAATTTTGTTTTATTCATCAAAATTTTTCTACCTCTCAACACCTGTTGTATGTGTGTGTGTGTGTGTGTAGGCGTTTTGTTATAAACAGAAAGCAAACAAACAAATGTAAAACAAAACATTATTTTTATCGAGGATCATTGGCAACCGGAGAAAAAACTTTGATGATGATGATGATGATGATGATGGGCCACCATCAATGCAAGGAATTTTTTTTCTGGCCACTTGTTGTTGTTGTTGCTGTTGTTGTGGATTCTGCATCAAATCCAATCAAAAAAAAAAGACTTAAACCTTGTCCGGTATTTGTTTTCTGGTTCGCCCACCCCAATCATTTCATCATCATCCTTTTTTTATTTGTATTTGGTTGAAATGTTTGCCAAATAAATGAGAGAGAAAAGATGATGAACGCCAGCAGCATGCTGGTTATTTCATTCAAAAAAAAAAAAAAAAAAATTTCTGTTGACATAGAGCATGTGTAGGCGTTGATGATCACATCACATCATCGCACATCACAATCCATCTTCTGTGCGTGTTTGTGTTGTGCAAACATTTCAAAAAAAAAAAAAAATTCTTTCAATTGAACAAATGAGAAAAGAAAAAAATTGATTAAAGAATTTTTTGTAATTTTAAAACTCATTTTGACCATATTGATGATATGGCCAATTGTTTTTTTTTTTTGAAGAATTTCAATTCAAGAAAGAAATGGTGAAAAAAATGTACAAAATGTCAAATCTATTGTCAGTTGTATTTGATGATGATGATGATGATGAGATCATGCTGTTGTTTTGTTTATGTTGATGATGATGAACAATATGACAGGTGATTAACAATATAACACACACACACACGCATGCACAAACCGAATTCCAACCAAAATAGGTTCATTTTAGACATTGAATGACTGACTTGAATGATTTTGATATGATATGATGATTTTTTTTGATGTCCTGGTGTTTTTTGTTGTTGTTGTTGTTGTTGTTGTTTTTATCCACATTCATTGGGCCATCAAATTTTTGTTTTTTTTTTTTGTTCGTATAGAATTATTTTGATGCACGATTCGCTTTTAAAAACACATATATTGATTGTCATCAATAAATAAAGTCAGGTCAGGTCATTTCATTGATCCATTGGATTTTTTTTTTGATTTTGATTTTTCAATCTATCTATCTACGCACACAGTGGGTATTTCTTTCATAGTTTTTCTTTTTTTGGATTTGAAATTTTTTTCCATCATTGATGATGATGATGATGATGATGATGATGACTAACAATATAAAGCCTCTTCAAACACCAGAAAAAAACCCACTATAGTAATGATTGAATAAAATAAAAAATTGGCTGCCTGCTTCTAACAGTAAACCTGAATGTATCCATCTTATTGAATGATTGACAGCTGCAGCAGCAGCAGCAACAGGCTGTTGTTGTTGTTGTTTGACTGTTGATCTTTGATCATCATCATCATCATCAGTAAATGGGCAGTAGATCTATAGGATTGGCCATTGGAATTTTCTTTAAATCATTGACAACCAAAAATTCCATGCCGAATGAAATGTATGAATAAATCTCATCATCATCATCATCATCAGTATTTTAATTTTGGAATCAAAAGGAACAACAAAAAAAATTTCACTTTCAATTTTATATCAAAACCAAAAAAAAAAAAGACAAAAATCTAACGGAACGAAAAATGATCATCATCTTCTTGTTGTGGATTTTTTTTCTTGCCGTCAAATCAATTTATCAATTTAAAAATGTTTTTACAAACTCACAACAGGTTAATTGTGAAGTGAAATGAAAATTGAATGAACATCAGAATTGGACATTATATCGGATATACAAAATCTGCCGTTTTCAATTTCACTTCTTCTTCTTTTTGTTGTTGTTATTGATCATCATGTTGTCCATCGTCATCATAATCATAATGTGGCCAATAAGTTTTTTTTGTTGGAAAAAAAGGAAACAAGAAAATAAAAAACAAGTAAAACATTTGAAAGAAAAAAAAATCAAGTAAAAATCCAATGCTATTTGTGTGTGTGTGTGTGTTGATGATTCGTTAGCGTTTTTTTTTTTTATTTCTTTCGTTCATTCGTATTTGATCGTCTTCATTTTATCTTTGAATGTTGATGATAATAATGATGATGACGGCCGATGACCAAAAAAAAAAAAAACTAGCTAAAGTTTTTTTTTTTTTTTTTTTTTTTTTTTTACTTGACTTGATCCTGAAGATGTATATCCTACTACTATGTATTGACTTGACTCTTGTTGGTCGGTCGTTCGGTCGGTCGGTTTTTCGTTTCGATCAATGGATGGCTAGATGGATAGATGGCTGATTGATTGGATGATGAAGACTGAAACTGATGTTTGAATGTGTGTGTGTGTGTGTGTCTGTGATGATGATCACGATAAATAGTATGAATGAATGGCAATGAGCTATGATATCGGCCATTGAATTTTTTTTTTTTTTTGCTAAAGTTTCAAATGGTCAGCACAAAAAAAAAAAGAAAAAGAAAATCATACCATATATCCATCTAAGCCTGACTTATTGATGAAATGATGATGTGTACGATGGCGATGAAGATGAAAATCAAAAAAAAAAAAAAAAAAAAACATAATCACCGGTCACCAGTTTGTCCGAAAATTTGTTTGATTGATAAAATCAGTCAATCGAATGAAATATATAGCCCACCATAATATACAGACAGACACACAGAAAAAAATCAATACTTTATTCACGGGAAATTTGTCCGAAAACTTTTAAGGAAACTTTTTTAAAATTCAAATTAAAATTTAATTTGTCATCATCGATATTTTATTCGGATTTTATTATCATCTGGACTAACAAAATCTCAGTTTCAGATGGCAGAAGATGAAAAAAAATCACGATAAAACTTTTTTCTTGGACTTCTTTTTGAAAATTCACTTTAATTTCAATGATGATGATGTCATTGATGACTTAATCATCATCATCATTTTAAGTAGAAATAAAAACCGTTAAAATTTTAGTCGACTTTGACCATTTTTATTATCATTCGTTTTTTTTACTGATTTTCTAATAAAATTTTTCTTTTTAAATTTAATTTGAATTTTTTTTTTTTTTTGTCTTTTCATCCCTAAATCATTTGGATTAAATTTTTTTTTCGTTTTGGAAAACAAAAAAATTTTGTTCATCGCCATTTCCATGGATTCATCCACCGATCGTTTTCTGTGTGTGTGTGTGTGTTTTTTTTCTTCTTTTTACCCAAATTGACCTGCATGTCAAAATGGTGGTCATCATGATGATCAACTACAACAACGGCAACGACGATAACAACAACAACATTTCAATCGACGACTACGACCATGACATCGTGGGGAAAAAAAGTTTTGACAATTTTTTTTCGTCTTTCTCTCTCTCTCATTCTATCTCTATTTGAATTTAATTTGACTTTCAGTGTTTGTGTTGAGATAATTGATAAGATTACTGTCATCTTGAAATCTTCAATCTAATCATTGTGTGTTTTTGTGTGTGTAAAAAAAATACTGAAACAATCAGTGGTCCAATCAAATTTTCATAATAAAAATATTGACCTTACTACCACCATCAAATATATACGTTTATAATCAATTTTTATATATCAACTTAATATCAACCAAGATACAACAACAACAACAAAAATGGCCACTGGTTCATCATCACCATATCTAAATCACCTGTCCAATGCACATGAACAGCAGGCACATTTAATGCAAGTTGCAGCTGCGGCTGCCGCTGCAGGAGGTGTCTATGGTGGTGGATCACGTGAACAATCACAATCATCTGGAACAACATCATCAATAACAACATCAAATTCGTCGGCAGCAGCAGCCGCAGCAGCAGCGGCAGCAGCCGTTGATCTTAAATATTCAATGCATCCACAAGCTAATGGACATACAACAGCGGCTACATTAGGTCAACATCATTGGTCATCATCGTTAGGTTTACAAACATCACTTGGTACATCGTCTAATCATCAATCACCACATGGTCCATCGCCTGTAGGTAGTATATCATCTCCACATCAAATGAGCCATGCATCAAGTGGACAAGCAGTTGCGGCTGCTGCGGCAGCAGCAGCAGCTGCCGCTGCTGCTGATATGCAAATGCCAAATCCGTGGGCCACAGCCGGTGTAATGCATGGTATGCATCATTCACATCATCCACATCATCATACTGCTCATCATCCACATCATATGCATCATAGTCCAGATATAAAGACACATGGTGGTGGACATGGTCAATCACAGAATGGTACAAGTTCATCATCAACAACGTCATCAAATGATTTAGCATCGATACATGCGGCTGCAGCAGCTGCAGCAGCAGCAGCACATCATGTACATGCAGCGGCACATCGTGGTACACCTCATCAACATAGTATGGCACCAACATGGCATCCAATGTCATTAACGATGTCTGGTCATCATCATCAACATCATCATCCACATCATCATCATACTGGTACACCACCGCCTCCTCCACATAGTAATGGTGGTTCCCCATTGCATCAACATTCAATGGCAGCATATCCAAGCATGAATGGCATGTTAGCTGCTGCAGCTGGTGGTGGTCAAGCATCAATGCTACATCCAGCTATGCGTGGACATAGCGGTCTTAGTAGTGATTTAAGTATATCAATGCAAAATGAATTAGTATCACGGTTAGATGAAAAATCATCATTCTCAATGGGTTTATTAGGATCATCGGATTCGTCTATACCACGTGTCCATTCAGGAAGTGTAACCGGTACTGAAAGTGCAGGTGAAGAAGAAACACCCAGTTCTGATGATCTTGAACAGTTTGCCAAACAGTTCAAACAAAGAAGAATCAAATTAGGTTTTACACAAGCCGATGTTGGTCTTGCATTAGGTACATTATATGGCAATGTATTCTCACAGACGACGATTTGTCGTTTCGAAGCATTACAGCTTAGTTTCAAGAATATGTGCAAATTAAAACCATTATTAGCTAAATGGCTAGAGGAAGCTGATTCTACGACCGGTTCACCAACATCGATCGATAAGATTGCTGCTCAAGGAAGAAAACGTAAAAAACGTACTTCGATCGAAGTATCAGTGAAAGGAGCATTGGAAACACATTTCCATAAACAACCGAAACCATCAGCTCAGGAAATAACATCATTAGCCGAACATTTGCAATTAGAGAAAGAAGTGGTTAGAGTTTGGTTTTGTAATAGGCGCCAAAAAGAGAAACGTATGACACCACCAACTGGACAATTGGATGGTACACCTACATCAGCAATGATGATGAGTCCACCACCGGATGATGGTATGCATAGTGGAGGGGGTAGTCCACCATTATCGATGACACATGGCCATCTTTCACATCATCATCATCATCATCCACATCATAATAATAATAATCATCATCATCATCATCATCATGGTCATCATCCACCACATTCACCGCCTTATTCACCACCAAATCCTGGTCATATGTTATCAGGCAATAATGGTGGTGGTCATCAATCTGGTCATCCTGGTAATGGTGGTGGTGGTGGCAGTTTAAATCCAAATGTATCAAATCCTAATTCGATCCATACACAATTAACGGCACACTGACATCAAGCGGCACTGGGCGGCATATCATCATTATCATCATCATCATCAACATCACCACCACTACTACTACCACAACAATCATCATCATCATCATCATCATTATTATTAACACCGTCAACATCAATAATATCAATGTTTAATCACAATAACAATTATCATCGACAACAGCAACAATATGGAAGATCGAATTCAATAATAAACAATTCCAATTCTCCATTATCAATGTTATCAAAAACATCATCATCATCATCATCATCATCAACAGCGTCATCTGTATCGATAAAAACAATGAATATTTATAATAATAATCAAAATGATCAACAAACAAGTGATAATCAAGATGAACATCATCATCATGAATCGATAATGATGTTAAAATGTCAAACAAGAATTAAAAACGATGATGATGATGATGATGATAATGATGATGATGATGATCAAGATGAAGATGATGATACTGATGTGAGCATTGTCAATAATAAAGCCGTCACAGTTGCCGTTAATAGCCAATTACACCAACCATTACCACTATTATCATTTCCTATTACACATTCATCATCAGCATCGAATATTTTTTCATCAAATCTAAATCATCATCAACAGCAACAAAAGCAATTTATTCCATTTTTATCAAATTTAAATCAACAACAACAACAAAGATCTACATCCTGTTCCTCTTCCGATTCAGCAACATCATCAAAAATGTTAACAGCCACATCTACATCGAATACCAAAGAATCATTATCATTGAAATATTCAACATCAACACCACCAGCACCACAACAAGAACCACCACCAATATCATCATATCAATTTGATCATCAGCAACAACATAATAATGATACTGGAACATTTCTTGATACATTATTATCCAGGGCATCATCATCATCAACAACAACAACAACAACATCATCAGGTAGTTGTTTATCAAATGAAATGAATTATAATCATCATTGTCAAAGACAACAACAAATGATTGATGATGATGATGACAATAATAGACAACAACAACAAAAAGATGATGATGAAAAACAGAATCAAATATCAACAACAAAACAAAATGGACATAAACAACAACAACAACAACAACAATCAATGGATGATGATGATGAAAATGATAATTCATCATCAACGACAACAACAACAATGACATTGAATAATAAACAAATCAATGATTCAAAATTATCACCATCAATGGATGTGAAGGAAAATTTACGAAAAAAATCAAAATTGAATGAAAAAATTGATGCGAAAATATTGAAATGCAACAATGAATCAGATGATGATAATTTGGATGAACAAATGATTGGAAAAAAGAATAAAAATAAAACCAAAATAAAATTAAAGAAAAACAGAAATAAAAATCAACCATCATCCGATTGTCATAATCTAGATTTAATCAATAAATCAATAAGTACAAAACAAGAAATCAATGATGATGATGATGATGATGACAATATACAATTTGAAACAAATTTTATAAATACAACAATTCATCATCAACAACAACAGCAGCAGCAACCACTAGATCAATATCGGCAATCAATGTCGAATAATAATTATTTTATGATTCAGCAACAGCATCAGCAACAGCAGCAACAACAACAGCTGCAGCAGCAGCAATCATCATCATCATCATCATATGGTGGTTATAATAATTTTATTGGTTATCCAAATATAAGCTATTCTGGTGGTGTTGGTGGTGGTCGTGGTGAGGAATCAATTCATCAACAACAACAACAACAATTATATAATCGTCGTATGGATAATTTTAATTATCAACAACAACAACAACATCAACTGCAACATCAACAACAGCAACAACAACAACAACAACAAAATTTCAATGTCAACAATTATCATTCATATTTTGGCCTATCTTCTGCAGCATCTTCAACAGCAACAACAACATCAACAACAGCGGCAGCAACAAATTATTATTGGTGAAAGAAAAATTTTGCCATATCGTTGACTGATGAATAAATGAATAAAAAAAAAAATCTGCTGGTCTTTCTCGTTTTTTTTTTTGGTTGTTTTCATCATTTTGTCAACAGAAAAAAAATCAATTTTTTTTTGGAACGATCCAGAATTTCATTTTGTAGTTTGTAGTTTCCTTTTTTTTAGTGTATTTAAATTTTTTTTTTTTTATTTCATATGTATGTAGATTATTTCAAATTTAGGTTTTTATTTTTTGAAAAAAAAAATTTTTATTCACAAACACAAACACCGACGCATGCCGATTCAAAAATCATCAGCTGCTGCTGTTGCTGCTGCTGCTGTTTTGGGTTGTTGTTTCATCCATCCATTCACCATTACATACAAAACATTTCATTCCATTTTCTCATATTAAATGGCTCACATAACGTATAAATTTGATCGGAAAAAAAAACAATCAAAACAAAAAAACAAAAATTTTTTTCTTGTAAAATTCATCATTGAATAATGTTCCTGAATCATACACACACACACACCACACAGACAAAATTCTTGATTTCATTTTTTCATTTATTCTTCAAAACACATACCTCTTTCTCTCTCTCTCTCTCTTTTTCTGTTCATCATGATCATCATGTTTAAATCTTTTTTTTTTTTTTTTTTTTTGATGTGAATGCAAAAAATTGACCCGAAACATACGTTTTTACCTGCATATATGCATATATATGAAATATAATACGTTGTTATGCAATTCTAATTCATTGATATAAACAAAATAAACAATGTTGATGATGATGGAGAATATGTGAGCGTAAGCATCAAATTCATTTCCAACAATTTTTCATTCATTCATTCATTCGCATTCATCAATCGATCCATCCATTGAAATTATTCAGAAAAACAAAAATCCATTCACATTTGTTTAATATACACACACACACACACACACATATTTGTTGTTGTGTTTGGTTGGTTGTTTTTTTTTCATTTTTTCATTCCATTCCATTCCATTCCATTTTTTTGTAATTTGTAATTTCACATGAAAATCATAAATTTGATCTGATTTTTTTTTTTGACATTCCATATATGAAGAAAAAAAAATTTCACCACCACCACCACCACCATCATCATCATCATCATCATCATCATTCCATAGATATCAACAAAACAAAACAATGTGCAAATGCCTCATTTTATCATTCATCAATATTTGATTCAACAATTGTCATTCATACACACACACACACACCATTCATCATCATCATCATCATTAATATTGATCTACCTACAAGTAACTACTACTACTACTACTACTACCACTACGAATAAACAAATCAAATCATTTCATCTCAATCCATTTAATTCATCACCATCATCATCATTATCATTCATTCATTCATCGTTTATTTCCATAATTTTTCATTTACACATTTTCAATTATCACAAATACACACACACACACACACACAAACACAAACAAATGCTGCACCACTCTTCATCTCTGTTTCTTTCATTTTTTCATTTTTCATTTTTCATTTTCATTTCATTTCATTTTTTTTTGGAATATAAAATAAAAACGATTCTTTCATTTAAAATTCTTTTATTATGTAATTTCATTTTCACCATTATCATTGATATTCTTCTTCTTCTTCTTATTATTATTATTATAAAATGAATGAATGAATGGATTATATAATAATATATGAATAATTATTAATTATAAATAATAAAATAAAATTATTATTATGAAAAACAAAACAAAACAAAAAAAAATTCTTAGAAATTTTCTTGGAAAAAATTTTTTTTTTTTTGAAAAGTTTCCCGAAATTTTTTTTTTTTTTAAATTTAGTAATCATCAGGCCAAATTGATCGATCATCATCAGTCGCCTAACACAATGGGCTGCTGTCAATCATCATTCATTCATTCATTTCAACGTGATGATGTGTAATTTGGTTGTTGCATTCATTTTTCATCATCATTCTCTTTACGGTTGTTATTTTGTTTGTGTGTGTGTTTTTTGATTTGATTATTTCAGCATTTTTTATATATTGTGCCACCATTTAGGCCATGTAAGAGTCGCGCGTTTTATCCAGAATTTACTTGACTGAAGGTGATCACATTAAACGCAATCAAACTTAAATAAATGACACGTAACACACGTACTTTGACAAAAACAATTTTATTAAAAATGAATAAAGAAAAGAAATTTTGATTATTATTATGATGATGATTTTGGCGAATTTACGGATCCCAATGATCAATCTGTCCATGGTTTATATACGAAAGAAACAAGGAAATAAAATTTAGAAAAATGCAAAATTATAAAACAAAAGAAAAGAAAAATAAGAAAAGTAAGAAAAAGGAAAAATGATGAACTTTCGACCTGAGATAATCTATTTCCGCATTGACAAGATCTCAGAAAATCTTAATTAATTGATGTTAATTAATCACTTTCAACTTCAATCCACTTCCGCGTTCGCCACTTCGACCCAGATCAGATGACCCACAATAGCGAGTGATTAAAGAAAGTTAGGTGTGGATGCTTGGCCATTACATCCCCCCACTTTTTGTCGGAAATTAGGCCGGAAAGAACAGAAAGAAAGGAAAGGAATGGAAATGATATGATTTGATATGTCTTACTTGCAACGAATGGATTGGTAACAATCTTATTTTCTTCATTTCGTACTTCAGTAGATTCATCAATTTTAATTAAAGATGTAGATATGTTCTTTTCAATATTAGTCATTTCTAATTTACGATATAGAACATATTCTTTCCATTCTTCTTTTATAGAATTCAACTTTTTCAATAAATAAATTAATTGAATAGAAATGATTAATCCAGTAATAAATGTTCCAATCATTTGAACAAAATCCATGATATTAAATTTTGATTTTTCAGAAATTTCTTCAATCTTTTTCGTCAATAACTCTATTTCTTCCAAAATTTTCTGATTGATTTGTTGATTAATTTCATTTGATTCTTTGATAAATAAAATAATTTGATTATTTTCATTTTCATCATTCAATGAATTTTCATCCATTTGATCATTTAAAATTCCACGTTTTAAACCAGTAGTACGAAACAATTTTCGGCCATTACAAATTCGATTCTTTTTTTCACGATTAACATGATCATTAGATTTAATTTTAAAAATTGATTTCATAGTTGATGTTATATCAATATCTTTTGGATTCATTGTCGAAAATTTAAATATTGGTTGACCCAATTTTGGTTTCACTGTTGTTCGGAATGATTTCGATAAAGTTGTTCGGAATGGTTTTGATGTAGTTCAGGTGTTGATTTTAGATGTTGTTAGCTTCTGACTGGTTTCGACATTGATTGAATTGGTTTCAATGATGTTTGGATTAGCGTTTCGATGATGTTTGGATTGATTTCGATGTTGTCAAAACTGGCTTCGGTGTTGTTGTTGATGTTGTTGTTGTCGATGTCAAGATTGATGTTATTGGATGATTAATTTTTGAAATGATCACTTTTTCAGAATGTTTTGTTGAGAATGGATCCGGTCTGACATTTATTCCCATAAGAATTGGTTATTTGTCTCAATACATTCATAATCCACATCGTCATCATTTAAAATTATTGAAGCGTCTTGGACGCAAATACTTTTAGATGGAATCTGATGAAGAAATTATTTTGACGTTCTACAGCGCAGATACAAAACATGATCACTACCCAAAATAAAAGTAAACTTCTTCAGCCCGACATTATCCCTTGAGTATCATTAAGGTCGAAATATTTCACGCATAAATTCAGAATATAGCCATGGATTAGATTTAAACAATGAATCACCTTATCACATTTAATCAGTAGTGCTTTCAAATTGATCACATCCTTACCAATTCGTGATATAATTTGATAGCAGATTTTTACGATAACTTCCAGTTCGATTTACACCTGAATCCAATTCAGAATTTCACCCAATATTGTAATATATGATACCATTTGTTTTTCATTCAAAATTAATTTATCATCACAATTTGCTTGAAAAGCATTTATGATGCCAGTTTGAATTCTTTCTTCAATTTTAATTTTGCATCCAAAATTATTGATTGGTCAGGTCGAATTAGAATCCAATTGTATTCAAAATTTTAGAATTTTGCAAATTATTGATCAGACAATTTATGTTCACAGCCAATATCAACAATAAATACTATAATGAGAGTGGAAATTTTTCCAGTATCAATAATATCTTCATGAATTCAAAAGAAATTACCGATATAGGTAAAATATTCGTGGATTTCCAAATTCTTCACAAAACAAAACAAAATTTTCGTTGAAAAAATTTCAATAATTTCCACGTGGTTTTCATTAATGGGTCAATTTGAAATGAGATGAAATGAGATGAGATGAGAGAGAGAGAAACTCCGTACGATGATCGTTGAATTCTGGTTGGAATTAGTAAAGCATATCACTCATAGAGAAAGAAGAGGCAGGGAAAAGGGAGTAGGGTGCATAAAATTATAGAGATTTGATTGCGAGACCACAAAAGAAAGACATAGAAAGTAAAAAGAAAAATGAATAGTGATTCAAAATCCCCGGTTCCCCTAACTCGAAATAGTATATAAAACCCGACGGACTCTGTCTAAAGATACCGTAATCGCTTTTACGAAAATAACAAAAAAAAAAAATAACAAATACGTGGTAAACAAAAACAAATTAAATAATTACATCAATAATAAATTATTATCTTCGTGTAAGCAAGTTGTGTATGTTCCATTTCGGCACGTCGATAAGTGATCCTGATAAAGTGTTGAATACAACATATAATAAACAAAAATATTGTTATTACGTACAATAACAATAAGTAACATTAGAAATAAATTCGAAGATGCAGAAATTATTTATTTACAAGATTGTTCAACCAAGTGTGTTCCTTTTCGACCATTGATGTTAAATCATTGAAGATTCATTGATGAATTCAAATGAATTTGAACATATTTGATTGAAGCAAGAATTTCATTCAATTCATCATGAAGGTTTGCCAAGAATTGATTCCTCTAACGATGTTGCGAATGTTACCGTTTACGACCATTAATCGTTAAATTTTGACCACGCTTCATACGATGAAGCAGTTGATTCTTACATGGAAACGCTGACCCACTTGAACCGGTTAAGTGTCTTTGCATAACAATAGAAAAATACACAAAACTACCAACACCTTTATCCGCACCATATCCCTCTGGATGGCGAGATCACGCCTTCCGCATACAACATCTGAGCCTCCTACGTAGCCCCTTTACACACCTCTGAATATCTTTACGCAGCAGTCGAGGAAATCGAACAGCATTGAATGGCAGACTGGTAATCATTACTTCGATCGAACGGAAGACCTCTCTCACAATATCTTGATTCTTTTGTTGATACAGCACAATTTTTGGGACCAGAATATGTCGTAATACACAAATTATCCCTTATTCGTCTGATCTGAGCCACAATACAATGAAACGGATCAAGCCCGAATAATAGCTCATCATTTTGGATCTATCTTCACCGTATTTACATTCAGCGCTGTAAGCGGCTATCAACAACGTGGTAATTCCATAGATCTAAAAATAACATTTCTCAAAATGCCATAAATCAGATGGACAATGTCGTTCAAATTGAAATATAATAGAGAACACCAAGTTGGCAAAATGATATGGGTAACGATGAATCAGCAACAAATGCTTGCTTCGTTGATAATTTGTTGCAGCCCAGCTGAAATCTGGCACTCAAGTATAGATGTTAAGAAAACGATTTTTAGAAACATGTTTAATTTGATCATTTTGATGTTGTGATAGCTTTCAATCAATTCATGAACCACTTTTTCTGTGAATCCTGTTGGTGCAATTTTTGAAATTTCTATATCTGTCATCGAATGATCAGAGATCCCAATCTAACTTTTGACATAAGAACCAACACATCACTGATGCTATGACGATGATTGATGTAAACCACTTGCACCAGACAATAAAATGACACAATATCACGTCGAGGTTTTAGATGAACCCTGAAAAAGGACCACACTTTTATGCATCGTTTCTTTTCTGAAAGCTTGTTGTATAACTTTACTCACATCAAGCTTCTTCAAATTTATGAAGTTAAAACCATTTTTGAGATATTAGTTGATTTAGAAACGACGATTTGATCGTTCTCTGCATGGTGGTTTGAGATGAATGCTGTCAATCCAGGTATTAACATAGTCGGTAGCAACACGATGTTTTGATCTTCTCTAAATTCAATTTGGGAAACATCGGCTTGAATTCAAGACCCCAAGTGATTCTGAGAGGATGGGGAAAAATATAATGCTGATTAGAATTATCACAGCAAAATATTTGATGGAGTTTTTATACATTGATAGATTACGATGTACACAAATTTGGATGAAATATTGATAAAATTTTAGTTGAAGTTCACTTTTAACCTGTTTATGATGTTGTTGTTCGGTATTATATTAATATATACTGGGACTAGCGATTGATTGACATACTGTAGGTGTTTCATGATGGCGAATAGGCTGATTCGTGGACGACGTTGTCGTTGGGAACGTCGAGATAAACCCATGAATTCAAGTCTAGTAGATGCTGAAGATCTAAGTGTGAGATTACAGAATTAAAAGCCGATACGAATTTCTTTCATTAAAATTCTCTTCCATCTCTGTTTGCTCTTAATCAGGGTCTTCTTCCTTCTACATCCGATATGCAGTATTCAACACTTATTACTGCATTTGCCGGTTTTAAGATTTTCTATGTGAACAATAGTCAAATGATTTCATCAACTGATATTATCCATATACTACAGAAGAATATCTTGTAATGATTTCCCAACGCTCTGACCTTCATATCTAGGATCTGTCCTTTCTTCC